CCCGGCGACGGGGAAGGCGGCAGCGTGGGTCTTCGTTAATCTCCTGCTCCATGTGGGCACTGCTCCTGAAAGTCAGAGTCATTCGCTCCTGAATCCATCTGACACGTGTCAAGTGTCTGCTGAGTGTGCGTGTGTGCTAGGTGCGGGGCGTGCCCCAGGGGTAGGGCAGACAGCCTGTACAGTCTGCAGCACAGTGGGAAGGGCCGGTGGCAGATAAGCAAGTGAACAAAGAAAGACAGGGGCACGCGGGACGCACTGAGACAGAATAACAAGGGTGGGCACCTGCTTGGGGCTGGGGCTTGGGCAGAGTTCTGTCCGAGGAGGCGATGTTCAAGCTGTGACCCACAGGTGGGAAGCGTCAGCTGTGGTAGCAGGCTCTAGGTGGGAAGCACGTGACACTCGGAAAGGGGCCCTTGTGATCCTGCAGCATCCTTGGGAGGTGAGCACCATGGAGGAGACCAGGGAGAGGTCAGGGGACAGCTGTGGGGCAAGGAGCAGGCAGGCTCAGGTCTGGCCGGCAGGGCGACTGGCCTGAAGGTCTCCTGTGATCGGATACCCATGCTGTTGCATTTCTCTTACTCTGGAGAGACAGGCGGTGGTGGTGTACTTTGAAACCAAGCAGTGCATTTACCATCCTATCCTCTGCCTTTTCCCGTAGGTTGATATGGGAAGTCTGGATGCCTTTTGTTCGAAATATTGTCAACCAGTGGCAGCCAAGAAACTGTGACCCAATGGTGGACTTTTTGGATAGTTGGGTGCACATTATTCCCGTGTGGATCTTAGATAACATACTGGACCAACTCATCTTCCCCAAGCTGCAGAAGGAGGTAGGCTGAGGGTCCTGGGAACAGCTGCCATCGGAGCCGTGAGGACTTGCTGAGCATTCTCTTCATTATCTCAGTGCTGTTAAAACGCTGCAGCTAACTTTGTCAACACAGTTGTTGGTCTACAATGTTAACTTCAGCCTTAGCACTTTTCCCCCCAGATTGCCCTCGAGGGAATTCATTTTCTTGATTGCGTAAGATTAGAATGGTATTATTTCTGAGATGTAGTACAGTAGAAGGGGCACATCTGTTTGGGTCAGTGTCTCTGGGGAAGACGGAGTGTAAGAGGCCTGCACGGCACCCCGCTGCCCCTTAGTGCCTGACACTTCCCTCCAGAAGGTGGAGACTGCGCCCTGCTCGGAACGTGCAGAGTCGCGGGCACGGCCAGGAAGCACGAGCCCGCCTCCTGCGAGCGCAGTGCGTGCCTCTAACCCTGCAGGGTTGCTGTGTGACTGCGCCCCGCGCGAACCCTCCTCTCCCCGCCCGCCGTGCAGGTGGAGAACTGGAACCCGCTGACGGACACCGTGCCTATCCACTCGTGGGTCCACCCCTGGCTGCCGCTCATGCAGGCGCGGCTGGAGCCGCTCTACTCGCCCATCCGCAGCAAGCTGTCCAGCGCCCTGCAGAAGTGGCACCCCAGCGACTCCTCCGCCAAGCTCATCCTGCAGCCCTGGAAAGATGTCTTCACCCCTGGCTCCTGGGAAGCCTTCATGGTCAAGAACATCGTGCCCAAGCTGGGTAAGGAAACGGGGCGGTGGCTCCGAGTGCAGCAGCTTCGGTGCCCTGGTTTCTGTGGCTGCGGTCATGGCCTAACACAGGGCCACTGGGCTCGGGGGAACGCCCAGTGCGCGTATGGCTGCGTACACAGGTGCCTTTTGTGCAGACGCTGAACATAAATATAACTTGGTCCTTTCTGCTGTTTATTTGCCATTGTGACTAACACGTCCGCAGCGGCAGTTGCACTCAGTGTGCCTGAATGGTTTTCCTGATGGGTACAGTTTTGGCTTCTGGTGACAGCACAGCCATTGGGGGTCTGAAATTTTTGTGGTATTCTAAATTATTAGGGGCTTAATTCTCGGCTAGAGAAAAAAAATTATTTTTAAGACTAGTATATCAAGAGCTTAAAAAATTCATCTTTAAAAGCAGATCAGAGACCGACATTGTCTGGTGACACTTTGCTCTTTGTGCTCTGCGGCTCTGCTGGTGTAAAGCTGAGCCTCAGAGACTGGGCTTCTCTCCCAGGGATGTGTCTTGGTGAGCTCGTCATCAACCCCCACCAGCAGCACATGGATGCCTTCTACTGGGTGATCGACTGGGAAGGGATGATCTCTGTGTCCAGCCTGGTGGGACTTCTTGAAAAGCACTTCTTCCCCAAGTGGCTTCAGGTACGCTTTGTTTTTGCGGGGAGAAGCTGGGGGGATTCTCTTTTCTGCCAAGGGCTGACCACAAGGGCAATTACATAATGCAAAATCAATTACATGGTAGGGCAGGAATGAATTAAGTAATCATAATAGCGGCCACCACTTACTGAAAATTTGTCACATACCTGATGCTGTTCTAAGCACTTTATCTCAGCTCCTCACAGAGACCCTAGTGGGTAGGGACCGTGGTATCCCTGCTGTATAGACATGGAGGCCGAGGCTCAGAGAGGTTGCAGGCCAGGGCACTTAGCCACCAAGCTGACTCCAGAGCCCATGCTCCTAAGTGCCAGACTGTGTAGCCCCTGTGAGTCTCTTTAAAGTGGTTATCAGCTTATAGGACCAGAATTGAGCAAAACAGATGGTCCCCTTGGAACTTTTGCTCCTATATGTTGCCACCGTGGATGCAAGTGTTTTCCTTTTTGGCAGGTGCTATGTTCCTGGCTCAGTAACAGCCCAAATTATGAGGAGATCACTAAGTGGTACCTGGGTTGGAAATCCATGTTCTCAGACCAAGTGCTGGCCCATCCATCCATCAAGGACAAATTTAATGAAGCACTTGACATCATGAACAGGGCGGTGTCCTCCAATGTCGGTGAGTGAAAAGTCCCATTTTTGATGCCCTGGCCCTGATTTCCAGGTTTTTGCACATGTGAATGACACAGAATCAGCTTTCAGGTACCCACAGGCTGCCTACACCATAGGTCTCTCTGCACGTACAGCACTGACTGTCACCCTCCTGATTCGCTTACGTGGCCAGCTGCCCTGCCAGGGCACGCTGTGACCGGTGGGGCACAGGCCCTTGCACAGAGCTCTGTGAAGCTGGATTCAGACGACGTTGGTCTAACCCCAGGGCCCGCCTTCCTAACCGCGGTGCTCTGTGGCCTTCTAAGGTTCACTTGTGCCTCTGCTCAGCCAGACTTGGGTACTTACTCCTCACGTACACATCTCAGCGTGGAGTCAGCTGGACAGCCTGACACTAAGTAATTGCTTAACCTCTTTCAGCCCCATTTTACCTGTAAAATAGTGGTGATACATACTTCATAGGTTACAGGGGGGATTAGGTGAGTTAATGTCTGTGTACAGTACTCGGTAGTGGGTATTTTGTTGTGTCAGAAGAAGGCAGCTCACTGTTCATTTAATATCCATTCCCAAGTTCAGGTAAGTCATTCTGCCCAGATCGTGAGTAAGGGAAACATATTCATGGTTCTGTATTTGGGAGCCTATTTCAACCAGTGCTGTTACCCTGCACGGACATCACCGAGTCTAACCACGTTTTACACATAAGCTCAGTGAGGCCACGAGCTTGCTCAGGGTCACACAGCTAAAGACTGGCAGTGGGACTGGAATTCTCCATTTCCTGAGTCTTTAATTCTTTCTAGTTAGCCCATTACATGAAAAACAGATAATTCACATATAATTATAGACTATGTTTAATGAGGCAAACATGCTTCTCTACTTATGCAGGTCCTTCAAGGGCCATGTCCACTCTCATATGTTCTAGAAACTCTTCCTCAGCCACCCGTCCTAATGTTCACGGATATTCCCTGTGTGCGCCCCTCAATTAGCATTTACGGTCCTGTATTATCCTTTAGACATGTATGTTTTGGCTCCCCAAATACATTTTAAATTCTTCCAGGGTAGGGGCCTGTATGGGTAAGTTAAAATATGACCAGTGGGGGCCATGTGTTTGTCAAGGTCCTGAAAGCTGCCTCTTGGGCAGTGTGGAATGGAAACTACAGAGCAAGGTGGGAACAGAATAGCGAGTGGCTAATGACTGTCTAGTTTTCTAGCTCTGAAAGGATGAATCTCTTGCAGACATTTCATTTTATGTTGAATATTTAATAGTCACTCTGGTTACCAGATATTAACCATAAGTCTTTAGATCAGTTGTTCACGTGCTACTGGCCATTTATCCAGACTTCCCCAGAGTGGTGTCTGTGAGGCGGAGCTGCCCTTCAGTGAGTCCTGGGGCACTCTGGCATGCCCAGCCCTGGGCTGGGTCACAGTGTCAACTTCCACACCTCTGGGGACACCGCTCCTCACTGCCCTGCCCCCCTGTGTCCCAGGTGCCTACATGCAGCCAGGCGCGCGGGAGAACATCGCCTATCTCACGCACACGGAGCGGAGGAAGGACTTCCAGTACGAGGCCATGCAGGAGCGACGGGAGGCAGAGAACATGGCCCAGAGGGGCATCGGTGTGGCCGCCAGCTCCGTGCCCATGAACTTCAAGGACCTCATCGAGACCAAGGCCGAGGAGCACAACATCGTCTTCATGCCCGTCATCGGGAAGCGGCACGAGGGGAAGCAGCTGTACACGTTCGGCCGCATCGTGATCTACATCGACCGGGGAGTGGTGTTCGTGCAGGGCGAGAAGACCTGGGTGCCCACCTCCCTGCAGAGCCTCATCGACATGGCCAAGTAGCCGGCAGGTCGGAGCAGGCAGAGACTTGCCCCTCAGAGGGGCGAGTCAGGAATAAACTATTTTAAATCATGTTTGAAAGGTAACTGCTCTGTTCAGGAGAGGCGCCACGTGAAGCCAGGTCACCAGGGCAGGCTGCAAAACACGATGCTACTTTAGAGGCACATAAATCCTTACACCAAGTCCTTGCAGGGCGTGTCATCCTTGAGTCAGGACAGCCAAGTTGATACATTTCCTGTTCTGATCTCTGAAATTTGGCCCTCAGCAAGGAGTTCTGCAGTCCCTCTGTGGCAATTTCCCTTTAGTCTCTGGTGGCAGCCAACACCGAATATATTACAGCAAGTCCCCTTCAGCAGCTGTCCTTGTTCCTGATGATTTCAAGGTTCTCACAGTCCTGGTAATCTGGTTCTTCCCGAGATGCCCAAATATCCGGGGAGAACTGTTCTAGCTTTTGTGTGGGGAACCAGTGGATGGAAGTGTCATTAAATACATCCATGAACTGTGAAGTCTGAGGAAACTCAAGCTCCTCCATTCCCTTTAAAATCTGAGCAGAAAAATTCACATGTAAGAGCTTGACAGCTACAGTAAGCCCCCACCCTTCTTGGTTAAATTTCCACTTTGTCACCCCCGCTATCCTTTTTAAAAACTAAGGATATTTTGATTTAAATGCTTTTGTGCAATGAACTGGAAGCCCCAGGGACAGTGGGTATGATGGACTATGAAGCTGAGGATAAAGGAAATTAGGAGAAAACTAAGAAGTGCACCAAAATGTCACAGCTTTCTGGAACACAGCCACACAGAGAGGCCCATGGACAGCAAGGTATGAATGTCACTGTCTTCAATTAGCCCCTGTGAGATTCCCGCTATGAGTTTTTGGTGAAGATAGAATTCTTCACAGTGGAGGAGAAATAGTATGATTTCACAAGTTCTTCTATCCCAGCCCCTTTATTTAAGTACATACCTTTGCAACATAGGGATAATTTTTCTGCAGAATTCTTGCCAACAATCTAGAAATAAAAAGGAACCGTGATTAGGAGGTATGAGAATGGTTTTATTCAACTTAAGACACGTAGAAAGGCAAGATTATTTAAGGAGTGTAAGAATTCAGGAAAAAAGCGTAGGATATGGAACAGGTTAACTGGTAGAAAATGTGAACACCCCAATAATGATGCCCATTTCACCAAGAGCGAGAGATGACAGATCAGACACTTAAGCACTGCGAAACACAAGGAGGGTGCGGGCAGAGAGATCACATGGTTTCCCGTTTTTCAAAAACATGTCAGTCTATCGTAAGGAAAGGAGGAATCACTGGCAAAAAGACTCCTTAACTTGCTTCATAGCTTGACTCGGGGTTCTGACATCTCCCGTCTTTAGCCCTTCCTCCAGCTCCCCGTGGAACGGCGTTTCCCAGGACAGAGCCCTCGTGGACACCATTCCTGCCTGTGGCTCTATCTGAGGTCAGGCCTCACCCCAGGGCCTGCTGGGACCCCTGTGTTCTCAGGCTTACCTTTCCTCCAGTCCTCTGAAACTGTTCCCGATGATGACCATCTGGGAAAGGGCATCCACTGACCAGTTGCTCCACAAAAGGTTGTTGTACAAGGCCGTCCCGCAGTGCAGCATGTAAAAGATGGTGGGCTCCCCACAGGTGCTCCGCTTCCCTTCCTGGGGACATAGTACCACAGATGTCAGCATCCCACATTCTACTCCTCACAGCAAGGTGAGGACAGAGATTACTAATGAGCTGAGAGGCAAGTGTCGAATGGAAAAAAAAAATTTGATTATGGAATAGTTACACTAGCATGTATGAAATCTATGCAATTATACAGGACTTTTAAAAAAGTCAGGAAATATGCTGTCCAGAAAGGACTCTTGTTTACTTAACAAATGTGTATCCCATGAACACACAAAGCTCTGGATGGAAGAAGGGGCTTTTTGGGTCCATGACAGTAAAGACAGGAGGAACGGCAATGGTTACTGTCCCTGTCCCTCACGTATTATGTGTTCAGTGACCCTCCACACTTCTCGTGTCACCGTCTGCAGACCCCCACATAACTGAGTCCTCTTCAGATGTCCCCTGGGGGGACACAATCACCCCCTCTTTAGAACCACGGCTCCATCGCCAAACTCCCTGCAAGGAACATAAGGCCCTTTGCTGCCTGGCCCTGCCTCCCTCTGTGGCCTCTGCACTCTCTACCGTTCTTACAGCTTCCCTGTGTGAGGAACGAACTGGCAGTGCTTTCCTTACCAGCTGGCCCTGCACAGCTGCTGCAGTCCCGGTTCTGTCTGGCTAGCAAGCTCCTCGTAGACCTTCACTTCCCAGCTAGGTCCCAGGAAACCTTCCTCCATCCCAGGGGTCCTCAAACTACGGCCTGAGGGCCACATGCGGCCCACCGAGGACATTTATCTGGCCCGCCGGGTGTTTTTGCTGCCACTGCCTGTCCTGCTTAGCAGCCGACTCATCCCGAACCCACAGTGCGCACGTGTGGAATGTGTGCCGCACCCTCCAGCGGTCTGAGGGACAGTGAACTGGCCCTGTTTAAACAGTTTGAGGACCGCTGCTCCATCCCTTTGACATCTCCTCCCCTGTCGCAGCTCCTACTAAAAGGGTCTGCCTCACTGTTTCGCTCATTACTTCCCTGTCCACAGGCCACATGCTCTGGTGGGACCATGGGCTCCTTCATCGCAGGGCCTGCCTCCCATTTATCTTGGCCTCCCCAAAGCTCCCTGCCTAGCACAGAGCAGGCACCCAGAAAAATCATCTGAACTGAACGACAGTGTCTTAGGACCTTGCTAATATCGGGGAATGACTTCTCTCAACTATGCTGATTTTCATATTACATAAGTAATCAGGACACAGGACAAATGATTATTCTATAATCCCCCAAACAATGCACAACTAAATTCAGGGGTATTTGCTCATACTGGCTTCAGCCCTGCTTAAGAAATGAATTTCTTTTTCCAGAGGTCTCAGAAATGTCAAATCCTAGCAAATGGGGGGCCGACAGGGGGTGTAGGGACAGGCAGAATATTCACCCACAACTCACAGCAGCTGCTGTGGGCATAGCTGGGCTACCACAACAAGGGGGGATTCTCTACTTCCTTTCATTGCCTCCTGGGGACAGGGTAAATTCCAACCAGAAAGATCTCATGTTAGGGACCCAGACTGCACCATCTTTATTTTAAGACACAGGTTCTTGCTATGTACCTGGGCTGGAGCACAGTGATCCAATCATAGCTCAAGCAATCCCGGCTCAGCCTCCAAGCCGCTAGGACTATAGGTGTGTACCACCAAGCGTGGCTAATTTCTTTTTCTTTTCTCCTTTCTTTCTTTCTTCCTACTTTTTTTTTTTTTTTTCAGAGACAGGATCTTAGGATCTTGCTATGTTGCCCAGGCTGGTCTTGAACTCCTGGCCTCAAGTGATCCTTCCACCTCAGCCTGCCAGAGTGCTGGGATTACAGGTGTGAGCAACTGTGCCTGGCCTACTTTATTTTTCAGTAGCAACAGCAAATACCAACTTAGCATAATTACTGGACAAAAGAATTCTCACAAGATTTTTATAAGCCTAACATGTTCTGGTCCATGCTATTTGTGTAACTTAAGTTTTTCTGATGGGCACAACACAAACCAAAACATGGGCAATGGATCGACTGGTCACGTGTTACAGGTACTGGGAAAGCAAGCAGAGGAGAGGAATGACCACCACTGCATAGACAACTGGTGGCCATGGGCAGGGCCCAGGGTCAGTGGGGTCAGGATTTGTACAGCCCGCCCCACCCCCCTTTAAGAACCACTTACTTCATTCTCACTGAGAACGACCACACCCAGGGTGTTAAGAACAGCAATTTCAAGTTGGCTAAACAGAGGGTCATACACCCAGCAGTGACTTCTGGGGATCTAGAATGGAAGAATGAGTTATTTATTTCAACCCAAACATCTGTGCACGAGACCAGGGGAGGGAGAAATAAAGATGAAACTAAAAATCTACCTGGCACTTTTCCAAGAAGAGAAGCAAAAATGCGAGCTGGGTTCTAGCTATGACGCAGGTGGCAAAGTTCCCAATGCCATAGCACACACACTTCAAGTGGCGTGGTCTGGTGACCAGGGTCTCTCCTGGGATGGAGCCAGCGGCCGCGTCTGACGCACCTGGCGAGCCCAGGTGCAGGTTTCCAAGGGCATCGGAAAGAGTCCTGACAGGGCACTTCAGTTGTTCCAGATGTTTTGTAAGACTTCTGTTGACGGTATCTGAAAGAGTAGACCCCCAAATGCAGTCAGAGGGTGTGCTCGGACCCCATGAACCAAATCACCCACAGAAGAAGTCCACAGACCCAGCGAGCAGGGCAGTAAAGCCTTCAACTTTTCGAAGAGAAAAGCCACTGGCCTCACTCCCAAACATGCCTGGGACACGCAGCAATGTCCACAGGCTGCCCCAGGCCCTGGACTCCCAGGGCCCCAAACATGATGTTTCAAACAAAAAACAGGCTTCATTCATGGGCGCAGTGTGCATCTAAAACTCTAATGTGAACTAGTTCTAATTTAACAGGAGGCTCCTAATAAACAGAGACTATGCTCTGAAATGCCTATGTTTTTTATTATAACAAAGAATAGAGGAGCATAACTCTCAAAATCATATTATAAATGGTTAGGAGTATGAATATTTAATGTGTAAAAAGTTCAAAGAAAAAAGGGTAGGCTGGACAATTGAAGAACCTAATGAAAAATACGTTGTTTAAATCTCTTATCTCTCCTTTTATTACTCTGGTATTGAATTTAGTCGAACCAATCTGTAGGCAAAACAGAAACCCATACAGTCCAATGATTAGATACCAATTTTTCACGTATCAAACCAGGAAAGATATCTTTAAATAAGCCCCCTGGCTAGGAAAGATTGCATGAAAAACTAGCTCTTTAAGCCCTTGTCGGCCAGGCGCGGTGGCTCACGCCTGTAATCCCAGCACTCTGGGAGGCCGAGGCAGGAGGATTGCTCAAGGTCAGGAGTTCGAAACCAGCCTGACCAAGAGTGAGACCCTGTCTCTACTAAAAATAGAAAGAAATTAATTGACCAACTACAAATATTAGCTGGGCATGGTGGTGCATGCCTGTAGTCCCAGCTACTTGGGAGGCTGAGGCAGGAGGATCGCTTGAGCCCAGGAGTTTGAGGTTGCTGTGAGCTAGGCTGACACTCTAGTCTGGGCAACAGAGTGAGACTCTGACTCAAAAAAAAAAAAAGTCCTTGCTGGTAAAATAATTGGTAAAAGCTTTTTGGAGAACAACTTGTCAGTGGATAGCAAGGTGGTCACCATCTTTGACTTAACAATTCCATTCCTGGACTATATACATCCTGAGAAGGTCATCCTAACTTTGGTAAAAGCTTCATGCAAAAAGTTGCTCACTGAAAAGTTATGTATAAAAATAACTAAAAAAGGAAAAATGTAAATGTCCCTGAATAAAAATAACTACGGTAATGTTCACTTCATACATAAATATTATTTTGCCACACTATGTTTATGAAGAGATTATAATTATATGGGGAAAAAGGTCTACATTGTAATACCAAGGAAAAGCAGGATAAATACAAATTTCAGCAATAATGATAGCTAACATTTATTGCCTTCTATGCAGCAGGAAATGACTGTCTGTTCTAAGCACTTAACTAAACAGCTTCATTTAATTCTCAAAACTACAGGACATGTACATTATCAATCCTTTTTCACGGACAAAGAAAGGTCAGAGGTAGTTCAATGCCGAGAGACACAGAGCGGCAAGGGGAGGAGTCAGAATTAGAACCCAGCGTGTACACCACTCTGAAGCAAAATGTCCTCAAAGGAGGACTACTTCCCTTCTGTGCCCACGTTCAGGCCCCCTCCCACTCACCGTGGTACCCACCTAGTGCTGAACTCCAGAAATCAGAGACAAGCAGGTCCCCCCTGTCGAGAAAAAAAATGGCATGATTATCCATCTCAGGGCTGCCCCGACAGCGACTCTCCCGACCATGACCTGGATGCAGAGGACGAGGGGCTCTGTGACACACAGCCTGCCCTTACCAACAGGAGGGGGGCACACATTGATCATGGCCAGAACACAAACTGCTGGGGCTCAGAGAGGGCAGACAAGAGGGCCCTGGAGGCGGCCCCCAATTCCCGCAGATGGGTCAGGTCTATTCTGTACCCCTGCTCCACATCAGAGCCTGGCATAGAGCTGCAGCTCAATAAATAGTTGTTAAATACTTGGATTTAGCCTTTCTGAACTTTAGTTTCGTCATCTCTAAAATGGGGCTAAGAACCATACCTATCACAGAGGATTATAGAACACATTAAACTGGTTAACATTTCTTAGCATGGTACCTGGCACATAGTAGGTACTGAATGGCTTCTGTTATAAATAAGTCTAAGAGGAAAGTAAAAGAAGAGATAAGGCCGGGCGCAGCGGCTCTCACCTGTAATCCTAACACTCTGGGAGGCTGGGGTGGGTGGATCGCTCAAGGTCAGGAGTTTGAAACCAGCCTGAGCAAGAGCGAGACCTGTCTCTACTATAAATAGAAAGAAATTAATTGGCCAACTAAAAACATACAGAAAAAATTAGCTGGGCATGGTGGCGCATGCCTGTAGTCCCAGCTGCTTGGGAGGCTAAGGCAGGAGGATCGCTTGAGCCCGGGAGTTTGAGGTTGCTGTGAGCTAGGCTGATGCCACGGCACTCACTCTAGCCTGGGCAACAGAGTGAGGCTCTGTCTCAAACAAAAAAAAAGAAGAGATAAAACCAACTGTCTGGCCTTTCTTTATTCAAAGCAACTGGTTTACATAAACCTAGATCAAAACAAAGCAAAGAGTGAATTAAAATGCAACTGCATTTAAACTGACAAGTCATAAGCCAGAGAGAGTGTTTAGAGGGCTCAGAGAAAAGTAGAGAGAATTGAGAAATATCTGCCCAGAGGCTGTCGCATGTTCCTCACAGAGGGTAAAGGAAGGTGACAATGTACACAGGAGTTCTTTGTCAACTGGGGGGTGGGTGTGCAGATCAGCGTGTGAAGTGCTCAATCCCTCCCTGCTCAGGGTGCTGGGAGAAGCAGGCAGCCCCTGGGGATACTGAATAAGCTGAGGGAACAGTAACGATGTCAAGGGATACAGAAAGTGCCTTAAGAGTTCTCTAAACCTCACTCACGCTCACTCTGACTGGCACCTTCTGAGAGCTTAGAAAGAATTGCTATTTTTTTTTTCAGGCTCAGCCAGCTGGTCAGCAACGCCTTTCCATTCAAAGGTAACCTCTGAGTCACCACTGCCTCTTGACCTTAATACTAGGGGAGAGGAGCACGCAAAATTAGTCCAATTTCTTTTCCTCGTGATGCCCTCCAGATGCTGGTCTGCAGTGCTAACTAAGGCTATTTATTCAGCTTTAACAGGACTGCAAGTACATAAAGGTAATAATACTAAGTAGCAACAGCAGGGAACATGTATTGAGTGCCTCCTGTGTGTTAGGCACCATGCACTTTCTAAGGTACAGGGCAAGGAACAGGGGCATCTGGGTAGGAGGGTCCTAAATTATGGAGAGCGGGAGGCACAGGTTTTGGAGTCCTAAGTACCTGGGTTTGAAATCTGGTTCCATACCTTATCTATGTCTCTTTGCGACTCTGGGAGCTACCAGGATCCTAGCGCGGCTGCGATGTCCAACAGCAATAGAGTGCAGAATGCGTAAGCTAGTGCCAAGCATATGGCAACTGACCGATAAACTAATGAAGATAGTAACATTAACGTGTTTGTGTTGTTTCCCTCCTGTTAACGTCATCAGCAATAGCCAGCATTTGCATAACATTAACAGCGAACACTGGCACAGCTACCACGTGCCAGGAAATGGTTTCCGTTCACTACTTCACTGAATCCTCAAAACAAGCCTAAGTACTGTTTTCTTTCCCATCTCACAGATGACAAAACTGAGGCACGGATATCACAAATTGCCCAAGGCCACACAGCTGTAACTGCAACAAAAGGAAAGACAGGCTTTATTGAGCACTTAATATAATCCAGACCTGTAATGAGCTTGTTACCTCCGTTAAATCCTCACGATAACCCCTTAGATTGGAGGGTTTGCAGTATATCCCCATTTCACAGATGGGGAGACTGAGGCTCAGAGAGTTGCCCATGGGCGCGAGGATTCGAACCAGCAGCGACCCCTCACTCACTCGGCCTCCCGGATGCGGCGAAGCACGACTCCGCTGTCCGCCTCGAGCTCGGTCTCCGGGTCTCGGGCTGCCGCCTCCCCTCGCCGCGGCCGCCGCGCAGCCGAGCGCCTCCTCCGCGGAGCCGCAGCCTGCCACGGCTCCAGGGCCGTCGCCGCGGCGGCCGCCGCCATGGCCCCTGACGTCATCGGCGCGCGGCGCGCCCGACCCCGACGTCATCGCCCCGCGCCGGGAGCCCTCCGGGGCGGTGGGCGGGGCTGCGCCTGACGGAGAGGCTCCCGACCTGCGCGCAGGTACCGGGCGGGAGTCCCGGGGACCCGGCCGCCGCCCGCTGTCCGGGGCCACGGTCCCGAATCCCGAGCGCCGGCTGCCCGGCGACTCCGGTGGGTGTGCGGCGCTCGGAGGGCGGGACCCCCGAGGAGCGAGAGCCCGGCCGCGCCTGATGCCCCGGCCTTCGCCCGCCTTTCCCGGGGCCCGGGAGCCCTCCCGCGGGGACCGGTCGCCGCCTCGGCCGGCCCGGGGGCCGTGTCCGGCGGCGTCCTGGCCCTTCGCAGCCGGCAGCGCCCCTTTCCCAGCCGTTCTGCCCACTGAAGCCACTTCCTGCGCCACTGCCACCCACCCCAGGCCTTGGCAAGCCACTTCTTGACACCCCCTCCCTCCTGGTCGTCGCGGCCACTTCCCGGGCTATCAGAGCCTTTTCTACTCACACCCTGACGTCTGCCCCTACCCCAGGACCATTACTGGCCTCTTCAGGACCTTTCAGAGATGAGACAGTGGACCTCGGCAGTGTAGGGCCCTCTTCTCTGGGAACAAGAGATAAGGGGTTTCAGGCCGCTGTTCTTGGTTCCAGGAACTGAAATGCCCCCTCCACAGGCACCCGGGTATGCTCTGTAGAATACAGTGAGTATGGTCCTATGGAGGCCCAGTCCAAGATACCTAGAGCTGAGAAATAATAGAGATTTTAGAGGCCATCAAAGATCGAAGGGTGGGGGGGGTCCTCTCTAGGAACTTCTGTCTTCCAAAGAGATCTTAACAAACTGCATTGTGTTCCCACAGACGGCAGAATTGTGAGCAAGCATGAGACCATGTCCCTGGTGACATTGAGGTTGGAGAAAGTGACAGTAGGAATACAGTTTAGAAGTGACCCAGGGGTTGTCACATGGAGGGGTTAGACCTGTCTTGCGTTTTCTTGGAGAGTGTTATCCAGACCAGTGAGGGGAGGTTACTGGGAAGCAGATTTTAGTTTGGTAGAAGGATAAATTTGCGAACCACCTGTCTCTGGAGGGAGTAAGGCAGAGGCAATCAAGGTAATTTTTGGAGGAGAATGCAGGAGACAAGGATTAGACTAAATGATGCCAGGGTCCCCTTTGACTCTGAAATTCTGTGACATACTGAGTGTCTTGATCTTGTGGGAATTTGAAAGCCACTTGATAAAGTTCTCTTTTTATTTTTTGGAAACTTGTACCAGCTCTGGAATCCTGCACGTTCAGATATGTTTTGGGCTCTTAAGGTGACAGTTCCCTAATCAGGGTTCCATTATTACTAGGCAGCTGCTTTATTTGTATAGCTGTTTTAACACCCTGCGCTTTTTCACAATAGTTATTTGAATTATCTTTTGTGAGGCTTGACAGTGTGTCTGTTAAAACAACTAAGGCCCTTACTCTGAAGTCTCTGCTACTCTTCTTTCTTTTTTTATTTTTTTTAAACTTTTTTGTCCCCTTCTTTTATTTTGAAACATCAGTGTCCCCCTTGTAGGAAGTTCCTTTGAAATATACCAGTTGTTTAACTCTGCTAGGTCACATGCTTCCTCATGAGTTTCTGAAATAGCTGTTTTGTTTGTTTCAGAGTCAAGGCACTGATGTTTGAACTGGAAGCTTCAAAACTTTTAAAAAGAACCTTCAGGATGGCTTTGAAGTGGACAAGCTAGAAATTTCTTCAGAATACCACCTCCAGCATTCATCTGCCCCCTGGGCCTTCCTGGAGAGGAACTTGAAGAGGTCATTCTGCCACGCTGTGGCTCTTGGAACCAGCCTAGTAGACTTGACTTTTCTGCTAGGATTCTCTTTCTTTATTATATTCTCTCAGAGTTGTAAGATGGGCAGAAGAGGTATTCATGAAACCGAAGGGCCTGCAAGGAAGGCAGGTGACACTTTCATGCTAAATGAAAACTAAGCAGGTGGCAGTTGTGACTGACAACACTTAAGCCTACTACGTCTGGATTCTCTGGATTGGGGAGAGGGGGTGACAGCCACAGCTGGGGAGAAAGAAGTGATACTGGGAAAAAAAAAAGCCAAACAAAGAGAATGAGGACTGCTGCTAAGTAAATGGCCACCTCCACCTCCACGGAGCCAACGTCAGCCTCTTGGTGAGTATCCAGGCCTGTCTCGGTTTAGCTCTCACTAAGCTACTGGGTGCATCTTTTGGGTTAATTGCAAATCCTCAGCCAGATTATCTTGCTTTTATTAAGGAAACAGTAAAAATGCCATTTTCTTTAGAGCAGCCGAATCAAGCATGTGAGCCATTTCTCTCCAAAATGAATTCTGTTTTAACCTTGAAACCCTCTTGCAGTATTTGAACAAGTCTGGCATTGCTGGTAGATTGTAGAGAAGCTAGCCACAGCCAGATGATGCAGCCAGCTTTGAGAATAATGTCGGCGTTGTCGTCTTCACTTTGGAGAGATTAGGAATGGTTACAGTTGAGAATGACACCACAAGAAGTGGTTTGGCCAGCCTGGCAGTAGAAGGGTGTTACTCAATGCTTGCCTGAAACTCAGTTCTCTTCTCAGCCGCAAATGTATTAATCCTTTCCTATAATTCGGTTCAGCAAACATTAATCAGGGAGATGAAAGTGAAAGGCATGGTTTAACTAGAATTTGCAGGATTTAATGACCAGTTATATATGTGGAAGTAAGAAAAAGATGAGGCAATTCAAGAAAAACAGCCAAGTTTTCTTTTGTGTGCCTGAGCAGGGGGCTTTCATTCGGAGAGCGTAGGGAAGGGGAAGGACAGAGCCAGTGTGAATGTTCTGAGTTGGCTTTGAAACTTTTTGAGGTTTTTTGCTCTGGACTTGTCCTGCAGCCAGATCTGCCCCTAGATCTCAGGGAAAGTGGACCACACTAGTGACAGAGTTGGTGCTTGTTATCCGGAAGATGAGGTAGGAGCCAAGGAGGCTGGATAAGGCATCAGTCTGGAGGAGAAGCACACAGGTGACAAAGCGGTCACATTCTTCCTTGTGCTTCATTGTCATAAATGTGATTTTGGAGATGGAGAAGTAAAACCGATGTCCCGCTGTTGGGGAGTTGGCTTTCTGATTTTAAAGAGGTAATCATCATAACATTAAGAAATTATAATTATACTGCAGAGTAGGCTATAAGAGTCTTGAGGGAAGAATGGGGGGTGACGGAAATTCAGAAGAAAGATTCTTCTGGGGCTAGGGAATGGGGAGGAGGTTGATGAGCAAGCATGCTTGAGTGATTCTTGGGGAGATTTGGACCTGCGGAGAGTTGTTCAGTGTTTCTCTGTAAACTCCCATAGGCCTCTGTTTTTCCCCTTTCATAGACTCACTGTCCTGCATTGAAATTGCCTGTTTGCTCGGCAAAGTCAGAGCACACTGCGGACCCTCGGTAAATGTTTGTTAAGTGAATGCAGGAATTCCTGGGAGAAGGGCTATTTCCAGAGATCTCTGGGCTCAGCAGTTGTGAGGATTGCCTCGGAGACACCCCTAACTTATTTTGACATCAGAGCCTTAAAAGACAGTGCTATCAGGCCATGGGGTTGTACAGTTACGGCTCAGTGTTTGAAGTAAGAGCAGTCATTGTGGGCACTCCGTTTTTCCTCTAGCTACTCATGTCTTTTTGGGCAGATGGTCTGACAGCTGGATAGAGACATATTTTTAGTTCCACTCTCCCGCACTTATGAAATGGTTTTATCTATTTGTAGCTCCTGGGGTTCTTTTGCCTCTGGGGCCACCAGAAGGCTTTCAAACTGAGTCATGAGCCCTCCTCAGGCCGGGAAACAGGAAGCTGTGTTTTAAAACGCAGCAGTCACTGGAGAAAGGAAACATGGCTCCATTCTGTTCTCTTGCCAGGTGGAACTATTTTTTTCTTTATGATGGTTCCAAGGTAAAGGAAGAAGGAGATCCAACAAGAGCTGGCATTTGCTATTTTTATCCTTCCCAGGTAAGCCACACAGCATTTGATTGTTAGTGGGGATCCACCCCTTTGCCTCCTAGTAGTAGCATTTCATAAATGTAGGGTTTAGATTAGGACAGCTTTCTTTGGCTGATCTAGGCATTTGACATTTCTACTGTCTTGTTCCTACTTGTACTATTTCTTGTTCTGGTCTTAAAATTCCTAGGCAGCTCAGTACCTCTGTCATCTCCAGCATTGTGTCTCCATCATGATGTTTTATTTGCCTCCCCCCTGCCCCCAATTTTTTGATCGGCTCATTTTTAAAAAGCTTTTATTCAAATATATACAGAAGTAGAGAGGAAAGTATCTAGCTTCAAAAGTTATCCACACTTTGCCAATATTATATGACCCATCCTAACCTCCCCCCCTCCCTCCCCCCGGAGCAAATTCTAGATGTGTCATCTTGCCAGTATCGAGTAACATCTCTAACTAAAAAGGACATGATTTTAAACATTACCACACCTAGAAAAAGTTACAATAATTAGGCCGGGCATTGTAGTTCACACCTGTAATACCAGCATTTTGGGAGGCTAAGGTAGGAGGATTGCTTGAAGCCATGAGTTGGAGACCAGCCTGAGTAACATTAGTGAGCCTGCTGTCTCTATAAAAAATAGGAAAATTAATGGGGTGTGGTAGTACAAGCCTATAGTCCCAGCTACTCAGGAGGCTAAGCTAGGAGGACTGCTTGAGCCCAGGAGTTTAAGGTTGCAGTGAATTATGATGAGGCCACTGCAATCTAGCTTGGGCATCAGAGCAAGACCCTGTCTCAAAAAAAAAAGTTATAATAATTAGTAACAATAATTCCTTAATATCGTCCAATACTCAGACTATATTCACATTTTTCCTTGTTGGGCAGAGTGCAATGGCTCATGCCTATAATCCCAGTGCTTTGGAGGCCAAGGTGGGAGGATCACTTAAGGCCAGGAGTTAGAGACCAGCCTGGACAACATAGCCGGACCTCATCTCTAGAGAAAATAAAAAATTGCTGGGTGTGGTAGCATGGACCTGTAGTCCTAGCTACTCAGGAGGATTGCTCGAGCCCAGGAGTTTGAGGTTACAGTGAGCTGTGATCATGCCACTGCATTTCAGCCTGGGCAACAGAGGGGTACCCTGTCTCTGAAAGGAAAAAAAACCAAAAAAACGCAAATTTTTCCTTGTTAACTTGGATGTTACTTAGTCTGTCCTTCGTTCCATCCATCCATCCACTCATTCTTCCATCCTTCTATCTCTTTTCTCTCTTTTTCCTAATCAGGATCCAAGTAACATTCACATATTTTATTTGGTTATTTAGTATTTTAAGTCTTTTTTTTATAACACTCTTCATCCACCACTTTTTATCCCCCCATGCCATTGAATTATTGAAGAAACCAGGTCATTTGTAGAATGTTACAATGTCCCACACTCTGGATTTGGCTAATTATTTCCTCACAATGGTGTCATTTAATGTCATTTATCCATTGTATTTACTTTAAATTAGCAGTAAGATCTAGAGCCTTGATTAGGTTCAAGTTCAGTTCTTTGAGGCAAGGATTCTTCATACATGGTGTGTATATTTTCTCTTGCATCACGTCATGTCTGGCTGTCCCATGGTTTAGTTAAGGCTAAGATTGATTTGGAAGGTTCCGTGCATTGACTCATGTGATTACATGCTGGCTTGGAAAATTGGGATTAATCTGGGCCAGTCTGGCCACTCCGTGCAGGGGATTTGAATAGGCATGAAGGGCTCATGCCTCTGCTCAAGCATGTGCCTATAATCCTAGGAGCAAAAATACATTCTGTGCAGTTGGCTCACGTGCTCACTGTGGGTGTTCTCCAGCACTTCAGTAGTCCCTGGCAGGGGTTGGCAAACTTTGTAAAGGGCTGGGTGGTAAATACTTTCAGCTTTTCAGGCCACATGCAGTCTCCATCACGTTTTCTTGTTTGTCGTTACAATGCTTGAAAAAAATGCAAAAGCCATTCTTAGCTGAGAGGCCCGTATAAAAACAGGCAACAGACTGAATTTGGCCTGTGGGCTTTAGTTCGCTCTAAGAAATGACGCAAGAGTTGAAAAATTTCAACTCCCTGTTTGGAATGTGCTCCTTCCCCACAGACCCTGCTCGATCAACAGGAGTTTCTCTGTGGACAGATAGCCGGAGTTGTCCGCTGTGTTTCTGATATCTCCGGCTCTCCTCCCACTCTCGTTCGTCTGCGGAAACTTAAGTTTGCCATAAAGGTTGACGGAGATTACCTTTGGGTAAGTTGGACACGCAGAGTCAGTGCTGAAGTGTTGCGATGATAAAGTTTAGAAAGTTGTACTTTCTGTGGCTCTTGAAAATTTAGACTGGCTGATCGTCCACACTTCCTGTGACACTCTCTGCCAGTGCCCGTCATAATTGAGCGCTCTTCAAAACATTTCTAACGTAGCCTGCCTTGCGCATGACTGGTTTCCCTTTTGTAAGACATAGGCCAACCTGTGGAAATTCTGTTTATTCTGTGTAATTGAGTTTTTACCTTCATCTTTTTCTTTTTTATACTCTCTATGCCAGGCATCCTCAAACTACGGCCTGCGGGCCACGTGCGGGTGTTTTTGCCCATTTGTTTTTTTTACTTCAAAATAAGATATGTACAGTGTGCATAGGAATTTGCTCATAGTTTTTTTTAAACTATAGTCCAGCCCTCCAACGGTCTGAGGGACAGTGAACTGGCCCCCTGTTTGAAAAGTTTGAGGACCCCTGCACTATGCTCTCTACCCTTCCTGGGAATTGACTCAGAAAAGACATTGATGGATATGCGTTAGATTTGAAGAACTTATTTAAGAAAAAAAAAAAAAAGATTAAAAACCATTCCTTTACATCTAGTAGCACCAAATCATCCAAAGTGCTATTTTCCCTTGCCTCTGTTTATTTTAAGGCTTTCCGAGGTAAAATGATGCTTAAGTGTGGAGTGGTATATTTAACTTTGTAGGTATTATTTCCAACATTTATTACAAAAATTTTCTAACATACTTTGAACACACAGTTGAAAGAATTTTATAGCAAATACTCATATCCCTCCTTAATTCTTCAATTAATATTTCATTATAGTTGCTTTATCAGGTTATTTATTTATCCATCACTTTATCCTCTCATCAATCCAGATTTTTTAAATGCTTTTTAGAGTTGCACACATTAGTATACTCCTCCCCCACCCCCAAATACTTCATTGTGCATGTCACTAACTATGCTTCAATGTTGGTTTGTGGGTTTTTTTTTTTTTTTTTTGGAGGTAAAATTTATATACAGTGAAATATACAGACCTTGAGTGTACCGTTTGATGCATTGGAGAAATGATGCACCTAGACATCAATACCTTTCAGGATGCAGAATATTATCATTGGCACACAAAGCTCCCTCGCATCCTTCCCCAGTTATTTCTATGCCACCCCCATCCTAGACAATTACTGTTCTTAATTTTTTCCTGCCACAGATTAGTTTTGCCTTTCTAGAACATCCCATGAGTGAAATAGTACATGTTAGATTACATGCCTTACAGGCTTCTGTCTTACCACTTAACGTTTGTGACATTCATTCATGTTGTTGCATGTCTTGGTATTCATTCCTTTTTATTATCAAACAGTATTCCATTGTCTACGTATATCACCGTCTATTCATTGTCCTTTTGATGGACACCTGAACTGTGTCCACTTTGGTGCATTAAGAATAAGGCTCCAAGGAACATTGCTATGGAGTCTTTCTGTGGACATATATTTTCAGTTCTCTTGGGTAAATATCCAGGCATGAAATTGCTGGGTCATAGAATAGGAGGTATATTTTGGATTTTACAGAAAACTGCTAGACCTCTTCCTCAAGTGGTTGTAGCATTTTACATTCCCAGTTATTCTACATCCTCGTCAACATTGATGTTGTCAGTCTGTATAATTTTAGCCATTCTGTAGGATGTGTAGGGGTGTGTCATTGTTGTTTTAATTTGCATTTCCCAAGTGACTAATTATATTGAGGCCTTTTCATGTGTTTAATGGCCATTTGTGTATCTTCCTTTGTCAAGTGTCTGTTCAAAGCTTGGCACATTATTTAAATTGAGTTTTCTATTTCTATTGAGTTGTAGTTCTTTATTATGTCCTAGATACCAGTTCTTTGCCAAATATATATTTTTAAAATATTTTCTCCCAGTTTTTGGCATGTCTATTAATTTTCTTAATGATGTCTTTTGATGAGCAGATGTTTTTAATTTTAATGACATCTAATTTTTCAATTTTATCTTTTATGGTTACTGCCTTCTGGATCCTGTCTAAGAAACCACTGCTTTCTGCATTGGAGAAGGTAGTCTCCATTTTGTAGTTTTGCCTTTTAAATTTAGGTCTATAATCTGTCTTGGATTAATATCTGTGAATGGTGTGAATAGAAGTCAAGGGTCATTTTTTTCAGTCTGGATATCTAGTTGTTCCAGCCTCATTGTTGGAAAAACTTTCCTTTCCCTACTGGTTCCTTTGGCTCCTTTGCCTAAGATCAGATAGGTGGCCATCTAAGTGTGAGACTATTTCTGGGCTCTTTAGTCTTTTCTGCTGATCTGTTTGAAGAATCTACGTGAGTACCACACTGTCTTGATTTCTATGGCTTTATAATATGTCTTGAAACCAGATAGTATAAATCCTCCCACCTTATTCTTTTTCAAGATAGCTTTGGATATTTTAGGTCCTTTGTATTTCCATTGTAGAATCTGTCAGTTTTTAAGGAAAAGCTGATGGGATTATGATTGGAATTGCATTCCATCCATAGATTACTTGGGGAAGAAGTAAGCACTTTCTGTGTTCCAGACTGTTGTGAGCTCTGGGATTATATCTGTGAACAAAACAAAGATCCTTGCTTACACGTGTGGTCCCCAACCCCTGGACCTCAGAGCTCCATGGCCACCCCCCTTGAAATTTAGGAACTGGGGATGGGGGTGGGACGGTGCACAGCAGGAGGTGATTGGCCGGCAAGTGAGCGAAGCCTCATCTGTGTTTACAGCTACTCCCCATTACTCGCATCACCGCCTGAGCTCCGCCCCCCAACCCCCATCCCTGTCTGTGGACAAGTTGTCTTCCATAAAACTGGTCCCTGGTGCCAAAAAGGTTGGGGACTGCTGGCTAACATTCAAAGGGAATTTTTTGTTGTTGTTCATTTGTTTTCTGTCTGGGTTTATTAGTTTAAATTTCTGACAATTCCCTTAGAACAGATTCCTAGAGGCATATTTACTGGGTCAAAGAATATGAAGTTTTTCAGGCTCTTTAAACATATGACTGGATTGCTTTCTAACTCAGCACTGCAGTCAGCATTCTGGAGGTCTGGGACTGCGATGATACGGTCAGTTTCTGCTCTCAAAGCACTTCATTCAGCTGGAGAGACAAGATGGCCATTCGTGCAACAGTTGGAGTCCTGTCCAGTGTTTGTAATGAAACCCAGATGAAATAGCCAATGTCCAAATAATAGTCCTAACAGTACGAGGGTCAGAAAAGAGGTCAGCATTGGCTACTGTTACCAGAAAAGGCATCACAGAGGGGCTGGAATCTGTGGTGGGGACTGGAGGGGATGGGTAAGCCCTGGGCAAGGGAACAGGAAGAAAGAGGGCATTTCAGGTTGGACAAAGTGAAGAGAGGTACTAAAGGTACTTGATCTTCATGGAGACCAGCTTGCCTGGAGTGGAGGGTGTGGACCCAGGGACAGGAGAAGATCAGTTTTGATGGGCCAGTGGGATCTGGTTATAGAGAGCCCTGGATGCCAGGATTCTGGGCTTGGACTCAAAGAAAAGGCAGATGCCTGTCTTCCTCTTGGCAGGTGCTGGGCTGTGCGGTGGAGCTCCCTGATGTCAGCTGCAAGCGGTTTCTGGATCAGCTAATTGGATTCTTCAATTTTTACAACGGACCTGTTTCTCTGGCTTATAAGGTATTAGTATTAAATATAATGCCCAGCCTCTTATTGCCAGAACACAGCACTTCCTCTGGGTCTGTTAGACTTTATGTAAACACATCACGTCCAGTGATAAGGTCAAGGGCCCTTGGAGCCCCTCTCAGGTGCCTTTGTGCCCAGTGCCATGGGTCACCATCATTTCAAGTGTCTATCCCTTCTCCTCTTGCCTGGGTGGTTAGGAAGAGCAGGCCCTGCTTGCCACCCTTACCCAGCAGGTGCCCTGGATCTGTGACCGGTGGGTTGTCAGCGCGGGAGGGTAGGGGTTCCCGTGTGGAGGAAGGTCAGAACCAGCCCTCCCTTCTAGCCAGTTTCCTGCGAGAGGAGCAGTTTTCATAGTAGTTGGGATTCTTGCCAAAGAGTCTGTGCCTCAAAATCTCAGACATTGACCTCAGGCTGTTTCTGTTCTAGAACCGTTCTCAGGAAGAACTGAGCACGGAGTGGGATACCTTCATTGAACAAATTCTGAAAAACACCAGTGATCTGCATAAGATATTCAACTCCCTCTGGAACTTGGACCAAACTAAAGTAACATTCTCGCCCTCCTTATTCATTTCATGTATAAGAACAGAGCTTCCGGGTGCTTTTTAAATATTCCTTAAATGAACTGTATCTAGGGACGTGGATGGACTGCGTCATTCCTCAGGCGGGGTTGTTATTGCGCTCAGCATTCAGCTTGCGTTCTCTGCTCACTGGCTGTGCAAGCTTGGACAGGGCAGCTCGCCTCTTAGAGCCTCACTTCCCCTATCCATAAAATGGTGTCATCATACCTGCGTTCTAGAACTCTTGGGATGATAAAATAAGGCGGCACCTAAAATGACACCAAAGAAATACTTGGGAAAGGGAATTATTATTTTGCTGATGCCTCAGAAGTGTTGAACTCAGTAATCTGAAGGGCCCCTTCTCTCTTGATATTAGTGTCACATGGCTTAATTGTTTCCAACCTCAAAAATGCCCAGCGTGAACATTTGAAGACCAAGGTTACTGTCCCTGAGAGAGAGTGGCTGGGAAGTGTTTTGTCTCTCTGAGCCATTCCATTTGCGGTCGGCACTCAGTGAAGCCTAGGCTGTTTGTGTGGCTAGCCCCTTAAGAACCAACTACCAGAGCCCTGAGCGTGTAGCACAGGCGTCCTCAAACCACATGCGGCCCACCGAGGACATTTATCCTGCCCGCCAGTTGATTGTGCCGCCGCTGCCTGTCCTGCTTAGCAGCCGACTCATCCCGGGCCCACAGTGCGCATGTGTGGAATGTGCACCGCCCTCTACAGAGGCCCTCTGATGGTCTGAGGGATGGTGAACTGGCCCCCTGTTTAAAAAGTTTGAGGACCCCTGGTAGCATCTCAGTGCTGGAGCAAACAGTGTCGCTTTAATGGGTGTGGCACTGTGACTCAGCCTGCACAGAGCATGACTCCACTAGAAATGGGGAAGGGTTTTCCCTGCACCATTTGGAAGACCTTTTGGAGTTGGCCCCAAAGCTTTAGAGAACGGCTGTCTGGGAGTCTTGAGACCACGAAAGAATAAACTCGACATTTTCGTGTGCTAACAGCTCCAGAGCTCGGCTCCGTAACACTGACTTCCAACAGCTAATGGGTCCTCGTGGGTTCCAGCTGCCAAGCAGGCAGGTAGAAATCGGAAGAGGCTGCTGACTATTGCTGGCCATTCTTGACCAAGGCCAGATGTTTTTCCTATGTTTGTAGGGACTTCTAGGCAACTGACTCCTTATAAGAAATGTGGACCTAAGGCATATTTTCCTGAGTGCAAGACCATGATATTTTCATTCTGTGTTATGGAACACAGTAGTGGGACCTGGTCAGATGTCAGCCAGCTGTGTTGCCATGGGGATTGTGCTTCAGAGTGGCGGTGGAGGTTGGGTGGGTAGGTTTATTTCCCTGGTGCCATGATCTGTATACCTGCATTTAAAGGGTGTCCTCTCTCTACTGCCTCTTTTCTCAGAATGGATAGACAGGGTCCCCTAGGCTTTCGACTTTGTCCCCTACGAATAGCCACTTGCCATATTTGCTGCACCTCCCAGCGTCTGGAGAGGCTTCCTTGTTCCAAGAATTTGGCATTTTGTGGTGTCAGCAGTTCTGGGTATGGACAGGTAGAATGGACCCAAAGCATGGCACAGATTTTACTGTGTGACACATTCTCCCTTTCCTAGGCTTTGAGCTCCAGCCTGTCCATCTGTTCTACCAAACCATCCTCCCCCTTCTCCCCTGCTGCCTGTGCTGATGGGTGCCTCTCGCCCTGCACAGGTGGAGCCCCTGCTGTTGCTGAAGGCAGCCCTCATTCTGCAGACCTGCCAGCGCTCACCTCACGTCCTCGCTGGCTGCATCCTCTATCAAGGACTGTGAGTGACCCCAGCCCCCTCTGCTCCAGCGCCATCCCCCGCTGCAGAGCTGACCACCAGCTGCCTCCAGATCACGGCGGGGAGCTCAGTCTCGGGCCTGTTCCAAGTGGGCTTGTTTAGCAAACACCAGGCAGTTTCGACTGGATTTAGGGCATGAGCCTGTCATTAAGCAAAGCTGGGAAGTTGGAGATTGTTGCATTCCGAAAAGATTCAGGACTATGAAAGGGACACGTGTAATTCTCAGCGTGAGGCATCCTGTCATAGTTGTCAGTCTACAAAATACTAGTGCAAAGTCCCCAACATTGCCAGCGGCCAGTGCTGTAAGTCAGGGGGGTGTGGAACGGGCCTGCGGTGGGCGGCCTTCCCCCCGCTGCCCAGGGCTCCACCGTGCCTGCTGTGCCTGCCGTGGCTCAGCTCTGCAAAGTAGTGTCAAGGGCTTTTACTCAGGCTCTTTCCAGCCTCTTGGCTGCGTCCGTGTCTTGGCTGGCTTCTGAAAGCTCGCTGCACTTCTTCGTGTAGCTCAAGGGCCTCTTCATGAGCCCGAGTGCCTGCGAGCTACTCCACGTCTTCCAGACCTCTCTTCACATGGAGGGTTTGCCCTCACCGCCCGGGGCGGGCAGGGCCGCAGCGCTGTGCCCAGAGCCTTCTGGGGAGCAGATGGCTGTGCCACTGAGAAGCTCTCGGCCCGACCGGCGGGGGTTCAAACCCCACATTCTCTTCTGGTCATCTGCACAGCCTTGGGCAAGTTGTTTCGCTTCGATTTTCCCTTCTGGGAAACAGTGATTCCCTGTGGCAAATAGCGTGAGATGATGGGTGTGGAAGGAGCAAGCGAAGTCCCCGGTGTGTGTCACACCCTCGAACCTCCCTGCCATTGTCATCGTGATGGTTCTGAACCAGCTGTGGGCCTTCCAGGCTGTTTGGTGACGCAGCCATCAAAGATAGCTTCCCCCCTCCCCCCCTTTTTTTTTTGAGAGACGGGGTTTCACTTTTGCTCAGGCTGGTTTCGAACTCCTGATCTTGAGCAATCCGCCTGCCTCGGCCTCCCAGAGTGCTAGGATTACAGGCGTGAGCCACCTTCCTGGCCAGTAGAGCTTTCTTGACCAGTCCCTATTGGCCCACGCATTCTTAGGTGGGCTGCACGCCTTTTGGTGTTCTGGCCATGCCATGATTTATTTATTTAACTACTCTCTTGTTGATGGGCATTTCAGTTGTTTATCCATTTTTAAAATATCTTTATTGTTTTTGCTATAATAAATATTCTTTTGCATATGTCTTGGTATAAGCCGAGTCAGAGGGTCTGGACGTTTCATTAATAAACGTTGGTAGGCACTCCCAGAGTGCCCTCCATCGGGTGAAACTCCCGCCAGCCGTGTTCTAGAGATTCCCGTCAACAGGGGCTGCCAGGTGTCCTACAGCACATTTCTTCTCACGGTGTTCTCGCTCCTGTGTGTGACCTCCTAGGATCGTCAGCACCCAGCTGCCGCCCTCCCTCACTGCCAAGGTCCTGCTTCACCGAACCGCACCTCAGCCCCAGGTACTGTAAAGCCCACCCTCCTGGTCGGGACGCGTCCCCAGAGCGCCTGCCGCTGCAGCCGGGTCTGACCCCCAGGCAGGAAGGGTCAGGAGTGGCAGCCATGGTGCAGCTGTGCCACTTCATTCTGTTGCAGCACCCGAGTCCTGCAGTGTGTGGTTTTCCCAAGAATTAAAAGCCACCAGTGAGGCGGGAAGAAGATGTTTGCTGCCGCCTGGCAGGCGTGGGTAGCTGGGTTTTCTTCCAACCAAGTAGATCGACGAGAATTTGCCTTCCCACAGGATAGCCTTTGTGTCAAAGAGATTAACTAGATTTTTCAGAGACGGATGTATCTTTAGTAAGACTTAGGAAAACAGAAACTTTTTAAAACGAATTCCATTTTTATTTATTTAATTGTTTTTGTAATGAAAAAAGTCACGCATACTCATCGAGAGTAAAATTGGGCAGACATAACCACTGCTAGCATCTGACAGCCCTGTCAGTCCTTGTTTTCTTTTGTGGCGTGTAGGAAGCTGTGGTTTCCAGTGTGTCAGAAGGCTCTCTTTTTACACTTGCTACATCAGCAGGCATTTTCAGTGCTAGGGGGCTATGCCCAGGCTCCCACTGTTGGTAGAGGTGCCAGTTCCAACAGCCTTTCTGGTAAACAATTTGATAATGAGAGCATTAAGGATGCCCTGTATATTTTACTAATAGTTCAGCTTCTAGGAATCTATACTAAGGAAATAATCTAATTGCTGAAAAATTTTGTACTCGAAACTTTATCACAACAGGCTTTATGAAGGTGAAAAATCAGGTGAGACTAAAATGTCTAAGGTAGGAGTTGGCCAGCTGTGGCCGTGGGCCATGTGCTACAAATAAAGTTTTATTGGGCTGCTTTCCAAGTATAACAGCAGAGTTGCATAGGTGGGGCTAGAGGCCTAATGGCTCACAAAGCCGAAAATATTTATCATTTTGTCCATTATAGAGAAGGTCTGCTAACCACTGGTCTAAGGTAGGGGAATGATTCATTCACCCATATGACTGTAACATTCACAAAATTGTAGTTGGCCACTTAAATTGGCCAAAGATGTTTTGCAGACAGGAATTGCCTGTTATTATTTTAAGCATAAAAATAGAATTTTATATCATGTCTCAAAAGTATAAAGGAATGTGTAGACTTAAAGAAAACAATACCCAGTACTAACTGTATTAGCTTGAGCTTGGGAGATTATATGTATTTATTTTTTTTAAGAATTTTTGTCTCAAGTAAGCTTATGTATGGCTTAGTACTATGTGCAATGTGATTTTTAAAAATCACCAAAAAAGAAAGCAAGCTGTATCATTTCTTAATAGTGAAAGTCATTTTGGCTAGAAGAGTTTTTGTTTGGTTTTTGCTTGTTTTGGTGGGTCCTTTTGGAACCTTCTGGTTGAGATGAAAGATTTTGTTTTTGCTTTTGAGAAAATCCCCAGGTTTCTGGCCTTGATTGTGAACCAGAATAAAAAAGATCTGGCGTAGCGTTCTGTCCAGGTCAAATCCTTTATAGTGAGGGTTGCAGGATTTTCAAATTTTTTATAATGGAATTTGTGTGAATTCTGTATCAGGGCCTGTGGCAGATGTGGCAGTGTTCTAGAACGTGAGCTCCCCAAAGGTATAAAAAAGAACATGGATTCTTGCTTTTATCCCCAGAGGGGAGAGGCTGAGAAAACCCGAACCTACGCATGACAGGAGTTTGGGTGGAGCTGCTGCCTTGGGGCCCGTGTGGGCCCAGGTCCTCGCCTTGTCGCAGCTGTGGTGGGGACAAGCAGCTTGGGGGGGGCTTCTGTTCCATCTGCTTGGCTCTTAGCATGTGGTTGGGACAAGCCTTCTGGACCTGGCAAAGTTTTATGAACAGATGGCACAGTGAATTCCTGACGGTTAGGTCAAGAGGAGACTGTGGTGCCCGGCGCCAGCTTCTGTGTGTGTTTGTTTTCAGAGACTGCCCACGGGAGGGGACGCCCCGCAGGAGCATGGTGAGTGGCGAGCTGCACCGTCGTTGCCTCTTGAGAATGGCAGTCTTTGATGCTACCTGTCCCTGCACAAGTCACACGGAAGGCGGAGCAATCCTGTTTATTTCTTCTGCTCATAAGATTAGGAAAATGGATATAATGGGGCTTCTAGAACAGGGTTACCCACCAGAACCCTAACTGTAAAGCTTGTGATTTTAGACACACCTTTCGAGTCCCTGCTCTCAGCTCCCCCTTGACTCAGTATTGTGAGGTTGCTCAGACAAGTGCCAGGGGCTGGTGGTGGGGAGAGGGCAGCGACTGCCAGGAAGACCTCTCGCGGGATGTGGAGGCGTGCCCAGGAGAGTGATTCTGTTTTATTCTGAAGCCTGAGTGGCGCAGATCCCTTTGTCAGTTGGAAGTGCTTTTTTCCATCCTGTATCTTTTTATTTTTTAAGTGTCACTAAGCTTTCTTGCACCAAACATCTCCCTCCTCCACAGCGGGGTGCTGTGCTGCCTGCAGGGGCTCCCTCCTTGCTAGTCACAGGAGTTAGAGCCGAAGTTGTGGGGCTCGTGTCCTGGGCGGAGGAATGCATTCGCAGTGATACCACCTGGGCTGGTGTGGGGTTGGCTGCGTCACCCCAAGAGCAGTTACTGCCTCTCTGTCCCCCCCCCCCCCCCAGCTTGCTGGCAGTGGAGGCGTGTGGACCCAGCAGGAGAAGATCAGTTTTGATGGGCCCCAGTGGGATCTGTTATAGAGAGCCCTGGATGCAGGATTTGTGCTGACTCAAAGAAAAGGAGATGCCTGTCTTCGTCTTGGCCAGGTGCTGGGCATGTGCGGTGGGAAAAAAAAAAAAGCCTCCCTGTGTCAGCTGCAGGGTTTCGGATCAGCTATTTGGCTCTTCACATTTTGTAGCAACGACCTGTTTTCTCCTGGCTTATAGTATTAGTATTAAATATAGATGCCCAGCTCTTATCCGAACGAACAGCACTTCCTCTGGGTCTGTCTAGACTTTACGCTAAACACATCACGTCCAAGTGATAAGGTCAAGGCGCCTTGGAGCCCCTTCTCAGGTGCCTTTGTGCCCAGTGCCATCGGGTCACCATCATTTAAGTGTCTATCCCCTTCTCTCTTTTTGGCCTCCGGGGGTTGGGTTACGCGAAGAGCAGGCCCTGCTTGCCACCTTACCCAGCAGGTGCCCTGGATCTTGACGTGGGTTGTCAGCGCGGAGGCGTAGGTTCCCGTGTGGAGGAAGGTCAGAACCGAGCCCCCTTCTAGCCAGTTTCCTGCGAGGGAGCAGTTCTTCATAGTAGTTGGGGATTCTTGCCAAGAGTCTGTTGCCTCAAAATTCAGACATTGACGCTCCAGCGTGTTTATCTTGTTCTAGACCGTTCTCGAGGAAGAACTGAGCACGAGTGGGATAACCTGTATTGAAAAATTCTGAAAAACACAGTGATCTGCATAAGATATTCAACTCCCTCTGGAACTTGGCAAACTTAAAGTAAGCATTCTCGCTCCTTATTAATTTCATGTATAAGAACAGAAGCTTCCGGCTGCTTTTTTAAATATTCCTTAAATGCACTTGTATCTAGGGAACGTGGAGGCTGCGTCTTCCCTCCAGGGCGGGGTTGTTATTGCGCTCAGCATTCAGCTTGCGTCTCCTGCTTCACTGGCTGTGGCAAGCTTGGACAGGCGCTCGCCTAGAGCCTCCTTCCCCTATCCATAAAATGGTGTCATCACCTGCGTTCTAGAATCTTGGAATGCATAAAATAAGGGCAGCCCTAAATGACACCAAAAAATATTGGGAAAGGGAATCTATTATTTTGCTGATGCTCAGAAGTGTTGACTCAGTAATTCGAAGGCCCTTCTCTCTTGATATTAGTGTCACATGGTTAATGTTTCCAACCTCAAAATCCCGCGGATACATTTGAAGACCAAGGTATGTCCTTAAGAGTGGCTGTGGAAGTGTTTTGGTCTTCTGAGCATTCCATTTGCGGTCCGGCCTAACAGTGAACCTAGCTGTTTGATCGTGGCAGGCCCCTTAAGAACCAACTACCAGAGCCTGAGCGTGTGCACAGGCGTCGCTCAACCACATGCGCCCCCGAGGACATTTATCCTGCCCGCCAGTTGATTGTGCCGCCGCTGCCTGTCTGCTTAGCAGCCGACTCTCCGGCCACGCTGCGCGATAGTGATGGATGTGGACCGCCTATACAAGGCCTCTGACTGGTCTGAGGGATGTGAACTGCCCCTGTTTAAAAAGTTTGAGGACCGCTGGTAGCATCTCAGTGCTGGAGGCAAACAGTGTCGCTTTAATGGGTTGGCACTGTGACTCAGCTGCAAGAGCTGGATCCACTAGAATGGGAAGGTTTTTCCCTGCACATTTGGAAGACTTTGGAGTTGCCCAAAGCTTTAGAGAACGGCTGTCTGGAGTCTTGAGCCACGAAAGATAATCGCATTTTCGTGTGCTAACAGCTCGAGCTCGGCTCCGTAACATGACTTCCAACGCTAATGGGTCTCGTGGGTCCAGCTGGCCAAGCAGGCAGGTAGATCGGAAGAGGCTGCCTGACTAATTGTGCCATGTCTGACACAAAGGCAGATATTTTATCCTATGTTTGTAGGGACTTCTAGGAATGACTCCTTATAACGAATGTGGACTAAGGCATATTTCCTGAGTGCAAGACCAGATATTTTTTCTGTGTTATGGAACCAGTTAGTGGACCTGGTCAGATGATCAGCCAGCCTGGTTGGCCATGGGGATTGTGTTCAGAGTGGCGGTGGAGTTGGTGTGGGTAGTATTATTTCCCTGGTGCCATGATTTATACTGCATTTATAAAAGGGTTCCTCTCTCTACTTGCCTCATTTTCTCGCAATGGATAGACAGGGTCCCTAAGGCTTTCGACTTGTCCCTACACATAGCCACTTGCCATATTGCTGCACTCCCAGCGTCTGGCGAGGCTTCTTTCAAGAATTTGGCATTTTGTGGTGTCAGACAGTTCTGGGATATGGACAGGTTAGAATGGACCAAAGCATGGCAAGATTTTACTGTGTGACCATTCTCCCTTTCTAGCTTTGAGCTCCAGCCTGTCCATCTGTTCTACCAACGTCCTCCTTCTCCCCTGCTGCCTGTGCTGATGGGTGCCCTCTCGCCCTGCACAGCGTGGAGACCCTGCTGTTGCTGAAGGCAGCACATCCCATTCTGCCAGACTGCCAGCGCATCCGCTCACGTCTCCAAGCTGAGCTGCATCCATCTTCAAGGACTGTAGTGAACCCCAGCCCTCTGCTCCAGCGCCCATCCCCGCTGCAGAGCTGACCACAGCTGCTCGCAGATCAGGCGGGGAGTCAGTCTCGGGCCGTTTCAAGTGGGCTTGTTACAAACACCAGAGCAAGTATAATCCCCAACATAGGAATTTAAGGCGCAATGAGCCCTTATTAAGCAAGCTGGGAAGTTGGAGATTGTTTGATCGCGAAGATCAGGACTTGAAAGGGACACGTGTAATTCTTCAGCGATGAGGCATCCTGTCATAGTTTGTCGTCTACAAAATACAGTAGCAAAGATCCCAACATTGCAGCACGGCCGACGCTGTAAGAGCAGGGGAAGTGTGGAACGGGCCTGCGTGGCGGCCCTTCCCCCGCTTGCCAGGGTCACCGTGGCCTGCTGTGCCTGCCGTGGCTCAGCTCTGCAGTAGATGTCAAGGGCTTTTACTCAAGCTCATTATCCAGCCTCAATTGGCTGCGTCCGTGATCTATGCTGGGCTCTTGAAAGCTCGCTGCAACTTCTATCGTAGTAGCTCAGGGCCTTATCATGAGCCGAGTCCTGCGGCTACTCCACGTCTTCCAGACCATCATCTTCAATGGAGGGTTTGCCCTCACCGCCCGGGCGTGGAGGGGGCGGCCGCAGCGCTGTAACCAGGGCTTACGGGCGACAGATGGCTATGTCCACTGAGAAGCTCTCGGAGCCCGACCCGGACGGGGGTTCAAACCCACATTCTCTTCTGGTCACTGCGAGACCTTGGGAAGATTGTTTCGCTTCGATTTTCCTTCTGGAAACAGCATGATTCCCTGTGGCCAATAACGTGAGTGATGGGTGTAAAGGCAAAGCGAGTCCCCGGTGGTGTGATCACCCTCGACCGCTCCCTGCCATTGTCATAAGTGATGGTTCTGAACCAGCATGTGGGCTTCCGCTGTTTCGGATGACGCAGCCATCAAAGATAGCTTCCCCTACCCCACCCATTTTTTTGACGAGACGGGGTTTCACTTTTAGCATCAGGCTGTTACGACTCACATGATCATTGAGCAAATCCGCTGCTCAGCCTCCCCAGAGCTGCTAGGATTTACAGGAGCCAGAGCACCATTCCTGGCCAGATAGAAGCTTTCCTTGACGCAGTCCGTTATTGCCCACACGCCATTCTTAGGTGGCTTGCGACGCCATTTTGGTGTTCTGCAGCCATCGACAATGATTCATATTTATTTAACTACTCTCTTGTTGATGGCAATTTCAGTTGTTTTCATTTGTTAAAATATCTTTATTGGTTTTGCTATAATAAATTTCATATTTGCATATGTAACATTAGGTATGAAGCGAGTCAGAGAGTCATGGACTATTCAATTATAAAACGTTGGTAGGCACTCCAGAAGTGCCTCCATACAGGAATGAACTCCCGCCAGCACGTGTTCTAGAGATTCCCGTCAACAGGGCTGCCAGGTGTCCTACAGCACCATTTCTTCTCACGGTGTTCTCGCTCCTGTAGATGTGACTCCTAGGAACTCAGCACCAGCTGCCGCCTCCCTCACATGCCAAGGCCTGCTTCACCGAACCGCACTCAGCCCCAGGTCTTGTAAGCCCACCCTCCATGGTCGGGACGACGTAACCCAGAGCCTCCGCTGCAACGGAGTTGACCCAGCAGGAAGGGTCAGGAGTGGCAGCCATGGTCAGCTGTGCCACTTCATTCTGTTGCCAGCACCCGAGTCCTGCGTGTCCCACCCCCAAATACTTCATTGTGCATGTCACTAACTATGCTTCAATGTT